GAGGTGGCCTGCCTCAGGAGCTCCCTGATAAGGGGGCCTGGGATGAAGGTGTTTGAGACCTTGTCTGTGGCCTATGCGTTCACTTTGAAATTTCATGATGTTGTGCCATGGTTTGGGTCTGTTTTCATCCATAGCCATGGGAAGAACATAGGGCTTCCAGGCTGTAAACTCATTCCTTCAGTTTTGGGAAATATTCTCGAATTTGTTCTTTCCTTCCTTCCTTCCTTCTTCTTCTTTTTTTTTCCCCCTAGAAAGTTTTCTTCTCTCTGGAACTCTTCTTGAGCAAACGCTGGGCTTCCTGGACTGGTCCTCCGATTCTATTTTCTATCTTTCCATTTGGCTCTACTTTCTGGTAGATCTATACAATCACCCTTCCGTTGAGTTGTTCATTTACGTTCTCATAGTTCCAAGATTTCTCTTCTCTGAATTTTCAAAATAACTTCCCCTTCCTACTTCATGGTTATAATATTTATTTATTTATTAAATACATTTTTATTGATTTCAGAGAAGGGAGAGAGAGAGAGAGAAACATCAATGATGAGAGAGAATCATTGCCTCATGCACGCCCCCTATTGGGGATTGAGCCCACAACATGGGCTGGTGCCCTTGACCAGAATCAAACCTAGGACCCTTTAGTCTGCAGGCTGACGCTCTATCCACTGAGCCATACCAGCTAGGGCTAATAGTATTTTTTTACTTAGAGCATTTGTTTCCTCCAGGTGGTTCATTTTGGTTTTTTGTTGATATTAAAGGCAGTTTTTCAGATTTCTGTTTAGCACTGGTTATCTGCTCAAGTTTAACATGGGAAGAGACTAAAAGAATGATTGGAGGCCTTAAGAGGAAGAGTTGGGCTTGCCCAGCCCGTGTGCTCAGTGGGTGAACATCATCAATACATGCACTAAGAGGTTGCTAGTTCGATTCCCAGTCAGGGCACATGCCTGAGTTGTTGGCTCAGTCCCCAGTAGGAGGTGTGCAGGAGGCAGCCAATCGAGATATTTCTCTCTCCTCCGTGTTTCTATTTATCCCTTTCCCTTCCTCTCTCTCTAAAAATCAATAAAAACATTAAAAAAAAATTGATATCCACACTTCAGATCATTAGAATCATAGTCCTTTACACTGAAGTGGCCTGAAAATCTGTGCTAGCCAAGGCCTAACGGGTCATTATAGCTGGTTAGTGTGAGAAACAGCCTGCTGTTCTTCGTCAGTCAGGGAAACAGCTGCAGGAGACGGAAGGACGTTTCTCAGGTTGGTTTTAGCTTCTTTAAAACAGTTGTATTTTACTGTCTTAAACACTGAACCAAGTGGTCACAAGTTAAATCTTTGATCATAGAAGAACCCTTAACTAGTAAGAGTGACCTGTAAGTCTCTAGGAAGGCAAGGCTGAAGCTGTCCACCTAGAGAGGTGGGTGCTGAGTTGGGGGAGGAGAAGCAGGCAAGGGGAAATTAACTAGCTTTTCATACTTTAGTGAGTGATCCTCTGAGAATGGTTTCTACTCTGAGTTTATTCAGAGTTTCCACAATGTCATGTTTCCAGAATACTTTTAAAGCAAACAAAAAACGAGTAAAAAATAAAGCAGTCATAGCCACTATTTCCTGCATCCTTCAAATGGGAAAAGATCATTTCCATTCCTTTTAGATACATTTGCTTCTAGGTACATTTTTCTTCCACGTGCTTTATTTAGTGTTTTAAACACTGATTTTGTGATTGGTCTTCAAGGAAAATTTTAACTTGAGCAGTGAAGTGAGAAAAGCACATCGGACCCAAAGGCCATGCTCCTGCTGTGTTGGAGGTGGAGTAGGTTTAGAACACAGTGACGAGGACAAGTCATTCAGTTAATCTGCAAATATTTATTGATTCCCTGTATGTGCCAGGCCCTTGCTAGGACGGGGAATACAGTGGTCCCTGTAGTTAGAGCATGCAGACACGTAGAAATATTTTGTTTATATTTTTAACCTACAGAATTGCCTTATTATAGTGACCTAATGCTATTCTGCTTTTAATGGTGATGCATTACCTAAACCTGATTATAGAAAATTATACTAAAACACACATTTATATTCCTTCAAAATGGACTTTTCCAATAATACAGGATTGAAGATCATATCTATCTGTAGGATTAATATGTAATCCCACAGGATAATCTTTCCTTTCCTTCTAATCGCAGAGTTAAAAATTACTTTTCTCGAAGGCCATGCTCCTGCTGTGTTGGCGGTGGAGTAGGTTAGAACGCAGTGACGAGGACAAGTCATTCCGTTAATCCGCAAATATGTATTGATTCCCTGTATGTGCCAGGCCCTTGCTAGGACGGGGAATACAGTGGTCCCTGTAGTTAGAGCATGCAGACACGTAGAAATATTTTGTTTATATTTTTAACCTACAGAATTGCCTTATTATAGTGATCTAATGCTATTCTGCTTTTGATGGTGATGCATTACCTAAACTTGATTATAGAAAATTATACCAAAACACACATTTATATTCCTTCAGAATGGACTTTTCCAATACAGAATTGAAGATCATATCTACCTGTAGGATTAATATGTAATCCCAGAGGATAATCTTTCCTTACCTTCTAATCGCAGAGTTAAAAATTACTTTTCTCTCTGCCTGGTGTGGTTCAGTTGGTTGGGCTTTCTCCTGTGCACAGAAAGGTTTCGGGTATGATTCCCAGTCAGGGCACATGCCCAGGATGCTGGCTTGATCCCCAGTAGGGGGCATGCAAGAGGCAGTGGATTGATGTTTCTCTCCCTCTAAAAATCATTTAAAAATAATAAAAGTAAAAAATTACTTTCAAAATACTATTATGCTTTAAGCAGTTGGTTTCTTTCCACCTGTCAGTCCTCATTCTTGGAAAGGCGGTCTCGGTCCTTCCTGTAGCCTTCATTTACGATTGTTCCTCTCTTTTCTACTTGACAGTCAAAATGCTAGAGGAGAGTTAGCTGATGAATAAAAAAAATTAGTAAATGCAGTAACAAAGGAAGCCAGTTAGTATTCCTGTGCTGTTTATGAAATGTAAAGGAATATCTGAATGTTCTCACACGAGGGCACATTTGTTGCAGGTGATTGACCCGGTGGCGCCACGATACGTCGCGTTACTGAAGAAGGAGGTGATCCCGGTGCACGTCCCTGGAGCTCAGGAGGAGATGAAAGAAGTGGCCAAACACCCCAAGGTCACCCTGCACCCTCAGTGCCACTCTGTCTAATAGAAGGGGCAGGAGAGCGAATAAAAGGGACCGTGTGCTTTGGTAGTCAGAGCGTGGTTTGGGGATCGTTTCTATCCAACATTATTTATCAGGTTGCGATACTATTGGAGAAAAGACTTTGAGGATTTCTTGCTGAAGACATTTATCCTAGTGAAATCCACAGCACATCACACAGAACTTCCACTCAGTTGGTGCCTGATTTTTATTCTGTAGAGAGAGCATATCCGTGTATAATAAGAATGTGTCTCTTCTCGGAGGCCTTTTGAAAGATGAGGTATCAGTTCACGTTCCTTACTTGGTGTGGAAGCTGAGGTGCATTCTCACTTAACTAGGTTATTCACTAGCTCTTACCTTTGTCTTTAAGCCAGAACATTGGACCTAGGAATATTAAGTCACAACTTGTACCCAGAGTTTATCACGCTGCTCTTTGCTCTGTTTTAGAAAATACCAGTAAAGTGAAAGTGTTATCTGTCTAAATTAGAATTTAACTCTTAAATAGGGTAGCAGGGAGCTCCCTGTAGTCAAGCCATGCTTGTCATCTTGGGTGGTCATGACTTGCTGGATTGTCTTGAAGGAAAAGTAGGTTCTTTTAGTCCAGCTTTGTGAGTGGTCTGGAAATATCCTCATTATACAGGGAAGGTTATGGTCAGACACCCATCATACACCAGCAGACTGGTGGACTCATGACCCTATTCAGCACCGTGTTACACTCCTAGACACACAGATGGTGATATGCATCATGAAGAGCTTTAAATATTCTAGGCCGTAGCCTTATGTAATTGCCTTTCTATTTGTGACATTAGCTGTTTTTTTAATTTTAAATATTTGAGTTATTTTAAGGGGAGCCCTAATAAGATTTGGGGGAAAGAGGGAGAGAGAGCTTGATTGATTTGGCTTTGCCTTTATCTTGCATCTGATTATTCAGTTCAGCTAGGTGAACAGTGGCATACGATATATCATATATCACACACTACAGTTAGCTTAAACGTGAAGTTCACTGAATGTTTTAAAATGTAAACGGTGAGGATAAAACTTCTTAAGGGTGCTTATTTGTTAAAATGACTGTTGTAGTCGGATAGCATGAGTGTCGTTAGTGCTTATTATTAAACAAGAATTAGTTGATAGGGAAATGTACTTAAATGATGAGTGGATTTCTCAGTTTGATCTGTGAAATTTTCATTGTCATTATTTCCCTCACAAAGTGTTCTGTATTTAGCCTGCCAGTATTCTATTCTGACCCCACTGTAATATAAGTTGTAACAACATACTAGTTTTTCTCAAATGCATTGGTCCAATTATTGAACCATTATTAAACACGTGCTATCTAACATTTATTTCAAAAGATCTTCATATATTTTTTCTTTTGAATTCTCTCAAACAAAACCTGAAATTTAACAAGTATAGTATTCTTTTTATTCCCCAAATCTCTTTACCTTCTTCATGTAATATAAAAAAAGCAGGAAATTTATCTGTATATATGTATATACAGTTCTGTCTTTAAAATTTGTCTTCTAAAATATGAAGGTCCCTAATTTTCTGCTAAAGTGTGATATCTGTCCTGTAATCTGTAGCAGAGGTCAGGAATGACTTTATTTTCTCCTTTCCTGCAAAAGCAGTGAGGTTCTGAGGATAGCAAAGCAGATTCTGATCAAGGACACTTAGCAACAACTACTACTGTTCCAGCTCTGAAAATAGTGCTTTAAGTTGGATGTAATCTTGGGCAGGCCACCTCATCTAACTCCATTGGCATCAGTGGTCAGTTGACTGACCCAAGTCACGGGACTGGGATTCCAGCTAGGACAGATAACTTCTTGGTGAAAGAACAAAATGGAAGAATAGGTGAATTTCCACACTGGGTTCAACAAGTTGTCTTTTTAACCAACACCTTCCTTTATTCATCAGAATCCTGACGTGGGCTTGAAGCCCGTGTGGTACAGCCCCAGAGTTTTCATCGAAGGTGCCGATGCGGAGACGTTGTCAGAGGGGGAGATGGTGACATTTATAAACTGGGGCAACATCAACATTACCAAAATACACAAGTAAGAACTTTCGTTTGTTTTCAAGTAAATATGGGATAAAAGTGTGCTATGTTTATTCACTTATTAAAAATTACTTGGTTCATGCCCTAGCTGGCTTGGCTCAGTGGATAGAGCGTCAGCCTGTGGACTGAGGGGTCCCGGGTTCGATTCCAGCCAAGGGCACATGCCTGGGTTGCAGGTTCGATTCCCAGTAGTGGGCATACAGCAGGCAGCCGATCAATGATTCTCTCTCATCATTGATGTTTCTCTCTCTCCCGCTCCCTTCCTCTCTGAAGTCAATAAATATATTTTTAAAAAATAAATAAAATTAAAATTAAAAAAATTACGTGGTCCAGATACATTCATGTGGTTGAGTGGTAAATTTACCCAGGCATAAGTACTGCAAGTTCTGGATAATGTTTTTTTCCATAGATGTTCCAGTTTACTAAAAGGGTATCAGGATAGCTTTTGCTTGTGATGCTAAAATTTATTTCATCTAGATATAAAAATAGTTTTAATGTTTTAGGGTCCCTGTTGATCTTCTGATTCTCATTTGGTGGAGGGATTCTTTGGACAGAATTTAACCTGTTCTCTATACAAAAATCAGATTTAAAATTAATTGTTTAATGATGAATCTGAACTTTCCAGTGGTTATATTGTGCTATACTTATAATTTTAAGATTACATAAATGGAATAAAATATGCGAAGATTGATTAATGGAGACTCTGACATCTTAATTGTCCAGTCATTGCATATGATTTTAAGTAATTGCTACATGTTTTAAAATACATTATTTTAGTGTTTTTTTTTAATACTTAGTATCGCTCACTTTAAAGTTTGTAATATGTTCATGGTCTTCACCAGATGTATGTGGGTCTGTTGTCCAGTGGATTCTTAGTATCTTGATAGCAGGGATTATATTTTATTTATAACCAGTATATGCCTGGCACATACGAAAAACTCAAATAAGTGTTTGGTTTGAAATTTTTACAAAGACAATTAATTCCTGATCTGTTTGTTACAGATACTGTTATGGCAGTTAGGGTTTATGTTTTAAAAACACTTTTCAATCTTACACCTAGAAACGCAAATGGAAAAATTGTATCTCTTGATGCCAAATTGAATTTGGAGAACAAAGACTACAAGAAAACCACTAAGATCACGTGGCTTGCGGAGACGGCCCATGCTCTTCCCATCCCAGCGATCTGTGTCACGTACGAGCACTTGATCACGAAGCCAGTGCTGGGAAAAGACGAGGACTTCAAGCAGTACGTCAACAAGAACAGCAAGGTAACTAAAAGAAACCGTGCTTCGTCTTTCCCTGCTATGTAAACTTCTCTTAGGATTTTTAAAATTAGTTTTAAGCATTTGATTCCTCAAATACAGTGGAAGGGATTGTAGAACTTTATTAAAATAAGAACATGTGAAAGAGTAATGTTTTCATTTTATAGATGATAGTAAGGCACAGTGAGGTTAAGTGAGCTGGGATTCAAACCTAGGCACCCTCGCTCTAGAGCCCTTATCCGTAGTGCTTTCCAGTCTGGTGTGCATGGTTCATATTTATGGTGGGAAACTTTTTTATACCTGCAGGGACTCCAAGCAAGTTAGTTTAAAGGTTTTCTGAAGCCAGTCAGTTTATAAATGTTAACTTCGGAAATTACAATAAATATAATCGTTATTTATTTTTACACTTCTCTGTTCTGTTGTGTATGCTTACGTAGTAAAGTTCTTAACATACCTGTGTAAAATAGGAATATTGCAGCTACTGGAAAACCGTTTGCATTAGTGCTCTGATTTTTGAGAAAGTGTCTTTTCATCTTATCACCTTTGCAGCATGAAGAACTGATGCTTGGGGACCCCTGCCTTAAGGATTTGAAAAAAGGGGACATTATACAGCTCCAGAGAAGAGGGTTCTTTATATGTGATCAGCCTTACGAACCTGTCAGGTAAATAAGTGTAGCTGAACAACTAAAGGAAAATGCTTAACGTTCTTAGAGTGAATCATACTTTAAAAATTGAACTTCATGAAAATGTTGTACCTGGTAATTCTCTATTCAGTTTGATTTGTTCTTCTGTATTTAATATTTTAGACTTTAATTAGTGATATCTTTGAAACAGCATAATATTCACAAATTCATTTCTGAAACTAAACCATCTTGTAATTCATCTTCATGTAGTCCAAGTATAAAGAAAAAATTTCTCCAGAGCAGATATACAAATGGCCCGTACGCACACAAAAGCTGCTGAGCATCATTAGCTATGAGGGAGGTGCAGATCATGGTCACCGTGAGATGTGCTCCAGACCCACTAGGATGGCCATAACCACAAAGACAGGCAATAGCAAGTGTTGAGGATGTGGAGATATTGGGACCTTCATACGTTACTGGTGGAAATGTGAAATGATGCAGTCACTTGGAAAACAGTGTGGCAGTTCTTCCAAAAGTTTAAAACATAGACTTACTATTTTACCCAACAATTCTACTCCCACGTATTTACTTAAGAAAAATAATGTGTTCACACTGAAACTTGTACCCAAAGGCTCAGAACAGCATTATTCATAACAGCCATGAATAGATAAACAAAAGGTGGTTTGTTTATGCAAGAGAATATCATGTAGCATAAAAAAGAATGAAATTCGTACTGATTTATGCGAAAACGTTCATGACCCTTGTAAGCACATGCTAAGTAAAATAATCTAGTCAAAACAGACCACATATTTATGTGAAGTGTCCAGAATAGACAAGTCCTTAGAAACTATGCAGATTAGTGGTTGTCAGGGTCTAGAACAGTGATGGCGAACCTTTTGAGCTCGGTGTGTCAGCGCTTTGAAAAACCCTAACTTAACTCTGGTGCCGTGTCACATATAGAAATTTTTTGATATTTGCAACCATAGTAAAACAAAGACATATTTTTGATATTTATTTTATATATTTAAATGCCATTTAACAAAGAAAAATCAACCAAAAAAATGAGTTCGCATATCACCTCTGACGCGCATGTCAGAGGTTCGCCATCACTGGTCTAGAAGAATGGGGTACTGGGAGTGATGGACAAAGGGTTCAGTTTCTCTTTGGGGTGATAGACATGTTCTAAAATTAGATAGTGGTGATGGTTGCACACTTCATATCATCCTTGAGTTGTGGATTTTCAAAGGGTGAATTTTTATTTTGTTTTACTGATTTTAGACGGAGGAAGGGAGAGAGAGAAACATAGGATGTGAAGAGAAACCTAGTTATTTTTTTCGGTTGCCTCCAGCACGTGCCCCGACTGGGGATCGAACTCACAACCTGGGTATGTGCCCTGGCCAGGAATTGAACCCACCACCTTTTGGTATATGGGACGATGTCCCAACCAACTGAGCTACCCTCCCAGGGCAAAGGATGACTTTTTTGTTATGTAGATTATATCTCAGTAAAGCTATTACTAATAAATATTGAAGAAATGCATTGATCCTATTGTTACTACATTCTTTCTCTTCCTTTTCATTTGGCATTTACTACAAAATTTGAAGAAATTCTTTGCTTGCAAATAATCTCAGGGCAGTGGAGCTTGCTAATTACCCTTTAGAATTGAGGAATTCTCAAATATTTTGCAGGAATGGTTCTGCTTCTAAGCAGATAGGTAGATGAATTGCCTTTTATGTCAAGAGTGAGACCGTTAGCATCCACTGATGCCTTTCTGGTGCCACGTGGAGTAGATACATTGTTATCCTGGGCTTAGCAGGCTCGCTCGCATTTATGGAAGTTTATAAATTGGAAGTTTATAATTAGCACGGTTGATTTTTTTTAATGTAGTTATTTTTAAACTACACGGAAGAACCTCTGATTTGACTAAGAGAATGGACTATTTATATTTAAGAGCATTAACACAGTGCCATCGACTCAATCTAGGAATTCAGTTTTAATTGCTGTTCAGATAATTCGGTTCAAATGTATTTTTCCGGCCCTTCCTGTTCTCTTCAGTCCACATAGCTGCAGAGAAGCACCCTGTGTCTTAATATTCATTCCTGACGGGCACACCAAGGAAATGCCGACTTCTGGGTCCAAGGAAAAGACCAAAGTGGAAACACTGAAAAATGAGGTAAATACTGTCTCTATTAAGTACTTAAGTGCAAACAACTACATACATATTATATCCCAATAAGTTAGTAGTTATTTGAAAAAATAATACATGTAAGTTGAAAGAAAAGAAAAACATTTTATTTAAAAAATACTTTGTTCTTGCCCTGACTGGTTTGGCTCAGTGGAAGAGTGTCGGCCTGTGGACTGAAAGGTCCCAGGTTCGATTCCAGTCAAGGGCATGTACCTTGGTTGCGGGCACATCCCCAACTTTTAGAGAAAGAGGAAGGTAAGACGATGGAGAGATAGAAACATTGATGGGCTGCCTCATGCCAACCCCCTGCTGGGGATCGAGCCTGCAACCCGGGCATGTGCCCTGACTGGGAATCAAACCAGTGACCTTATGGGTCGACACTCAACCACTGAGCCACACCGGCAGGGCTTTATTTCACTTTTGCCAAGATACGATGTCCTTGAAAGAATGTAGCACGCTCTCATGTTATAGCTGAAACACCTTGAGTTTGTGGTACACACAGATGTGGGCATCTTGCTCTATCTCAGGCACTTACAGTATCAGTGGCATCTGGTGAATTTTCTGTGGCACCTGGAGCACCTGATGCATAGTTTGGATGTGGCAGCTGGGAGTCATTCAAGATTTAGCATCAGTGAGGAAGACAGTTTGGAGGGTGGGTGGGGTGTCAGATTAGAGGGTGTTGTAAGTGGTTAGAGGATGAGAGTATGGAGGACAGAGTGTACGACATGGATCCAAGGAGTAGAATTGTTAAGACAATAATCTTTAGTTTTGTTTTGGTAACTAGGTAAGTGATAAAATATCTGAGCTAGGGACGGCAGGAGCGTGCAAGTTTATTAGGAGATACGAGTTCGAAACTATTTACAATGGGAATGTCATGACTTGAGCCTTTCATTTACACGGTAAAAACTGGTCTCTGATTTTAAAATTTTAGCTTGAAACAAAACAGTTTGATTTAATTTGGGGGGAAGACATTGAACGTGAATTAATTATCGTGCTTTTGGTTTTCTGCCTCGTAGACAACGACTCCTGTTAAGGAAAGACCAGCGCCCCCTTTGACTAATACTAGTGCTGCCTCTGAGGACCCCGTGGTCCTTTACAATAAGGTGGCTGCCCAGGGGGATGTGGTTCGGGAATTGAAAGCCAAGAAAGCAGCAAAGGAAGATGTCGATGCAGCTGTAAAACAGCTTCTGGCTTTGAAGGCCGTATATAAGGAGAAGACGGGCCAGGAATACAAGCCTGGAAGTCCTCCGGCGGCGGCGGCACCGGCTGTATCATCTCCGTCCTCAGCAAGCCCCCCGGGAGGCAGATCTCTGTACGATGAGGTGGCTGCACAGGGGGAGGTGGTGCGAAAGCTGAAAGCGGAAAAAGCCCCTAAGGTGAGTGTGCTGGGGGAGCCAGGCAGCCTTGTGAGGAGGCCCGTGACCTCCAGCTGCTAGTGCGGACTTGGCTTCTGTGGGACGTGATGTTTGTAGACTGTCTGCTTGAACATTTCGACATAACGGTCAACATTTACTGACACCTGCCGTGTGCCAAGCCCTGGAAACATTAACAAGCAGCAGCTCGCCATCACCTGCTGGCCGGGGGAGGGCTGGGGGAGACGCATGCTGGCACAGTCCTTGGCCGTGTGACCGTGATGTCTAAAGTGCTGAGAAATGCTGTGGTGTGAAGTGGCAGGGAGGGGGACACGGTTCATGACGTTGAGCCCAGCGAACAGACATACTCTAGTTTTAGAATTTCCTTCTACTTTTACTCTTACTGGAATGTCTTAGTTGTAATGAAGTCGTTTAGCCATCCTAATTTTCTCCTTTATGATATTTCAAGTTGTAGTCTTGCCAAACAAAGGTGTGGTTTTTTTGTTATTTCCCTGTGTGAAATGTGCACCATCTGACTTTAAACTCGAGTGAATACTTCCAGTGGCAAAGTGGAGCTTCTGTCCAATAGGCCTCTTTCTGTGGAAATGGTTGCAGGACTGCCCCCTCACTTTCCCCCATTTCCTTTCTTTTAACTGGCGGAAGTTTCTGTTTTTCTTGATTCTTGTATGTCTGATGAACTACCTCCTTTTTCTTAGCATCAGGTTGGTTTTGCTGTGAAAATACCCTGAATTCTAAAGTCATGTAAGTGAGAGACGGGTCGGGAGTATCAGTCAGCCAGCCACCCCGCTTATCGGTGTGCGATTGCCTTTCCCTGTGCTCGCTCCGTTGGTGCTGCTGTGACGGCTCCAGGTCTGTAGGCGGCAGAACACTGTCTCATAAAGGAGCTACCCAAGGAAGTGATTGCTGTCCTGGATGCCCGTTCTCGGAAGGCATACCCATGCTTCCTGCCTCCTTGGCCCCCACGTGGGTTTCCGGCTCCCGGTGGGTGGCTCTCAGCTCTGGTAGAATTGGCCGTAAGACTTGGGTAGGGTGAGCTGCAGGTGCTTTTCTCTACCGTGGCTTCCCAGTGGCATGTTGGTTTGTGGTTAGTGCTGCCACCGGGTAAGGCTTCTGGCTTGAGGCCTTTGCCTGCATGGCTGGCCTTCCCTGCTGGAGTCACAGGGTCTCATTTGGGCTGTTTCGTTCTTTTTCATGATGATTATGTTGAAGTATCAGAGGGAGTGATGTAACTGTTCTTTAGTTGGGCCCAGATTGTGTGTTTTTCCCAGTGTCGTATTTACCTTCTGTTTAGAAATGAAGAAAATAAGGTTTATATTGGCCAAGCCATTGGAGTGGTCTGTGCTCCGATTTTATAAATTCTGACTCCTCTCCTTACCCAGGGCGTGGTCGCTGGCAGTTTGCTTGGCTGTTTTGTCGTGTATGTGTCTGTTTACATAACGAAGAAGAAAAGTTACAGTACGAAGTATTTATCTCTTTATCCTTGACCACAGGCTAAAGTCAATGAAGCTGTCGAGTGCTTGCTCTCTCTGAAAGCTCAGTATAAAGAAAAGACGGGGCAGGAATACGTGCCTGGCCAGCCCCCGTTACCTCACGGCTCAGGTTCAAGTCCAGCCAGGAGCTCTGAGCCTTGTGGTCCAGAAACAGCGGAAGCCAAAGTGCTTTTCGATCAAGTAGCTTCTCAAGGGGAGGTCGTTCGGAAGCTTAAAGCTGAGAAAGCCTCTAAGGTTGGTGTGCTGTTCTGTGTGTGTTTTTGTTTTTCACGTTACCCGCTATTTTCCTGCCCCATGGAATCTGGCAAACTTCTCATGTTTCAGTTTCCAGCTCTTTTGTCTTGTCTGCTAGAGAAGCCTTCCGTGGTCCTTTCTCCCCCAACTAGATCTGACTGCAGTCTCCTAGGACTCCGCCTTTCTCTGACATCATACTTAACTGCCCTTTATTTCAACTGTTAAATTATCTGTTTCTCTCTGGTCTGTTAGAGCCTGGAGAATAGGGGCCTAGACCCCAGCAGTGCCTGGCTCACGGAGGCCCTGAGCAGTCCGTGCTCTCTGTTGGACTCATTCTCCTAAAGCTCTTCAGTCTAGAACAAGTATGCCAAACTCATGGCCCACGGGTCGCATGCCTCGTTTATTTGGCCCGTGTTAGCCTTTGAGTTTGACATGGTTGGTCTTGAACAACAAGTTTTATTTTGAACCATGGTGTGGTTTATGCTCATAGTATTACCTTTATACAAATAGGACTTTTTGGTACAGATTAATTTGAGTGGAAGACAGAAACGTTACAGGTTTTGAAATTTGACCAGTAATGTAGACTGGACTGCTGTCATCTTGGTAGTGGTCACTGTTCCACTTGTGTGATTGAGTGGCTCCTAAACTGCGGTAGGACATGTGCTCTGCACTAGTGCCTTCTCAGAGGCGTGCTCTGTGACAGCTCTGTCCCGTACAGCCAGTGTGGCCATTGTGACTGAGGAGCCGGGTTGCTAATTGATTTACTTAAGATCAATTTAGAGATCAATAGCCACATGGGGCTAATGACTACTCTTTGGACAGTGCAGTTATAGCACGATTTCTAAGTCACTCTCTTGCACAGTCCTATCACTGTTCCTCATATTCACTTATTTATTTCAGAAGTTAGTACATACAGCGTTCTCCCCTACCACACACCCCTCTGCCTTCAGTGGTGTTCTCAGATCTGCTTCTAAAGCTTCGGGCAGGGCTTTGCATTAAACACCATCCTGTTCTCTTGCTG